AGTCACTTCAGTTCTTTTGATGAGATACCGACAGAAATTCCAGGCCACAGGTCAAAAGATTTTTCACTTTCCTTTTCTTTGTTCCTAAGTGCAGTGCCTAACAACTGACTGGACCTGCAGTTTCCAGCTCTGCCCACAGGGGGAGCCTCCAGTTGTCGGGGCGTGTTTCCTTGGCAGCTGGACTTTGCCCTGGCCCAGCTGGCACCTTAGGGACAACCAGATGACTTTTGCAATCAGGGGCAGGGAACGTTTGACCCCTTAATTACATTAACTTTAGCTGCTATGCCCTTGTTATTTCTCAAACTTGTTTTTTTTGGTTCTTTTATAAAGTATGCTCCATACCCAACACGGAGCCCAGTGTGGGGCTTGAACTCTCGAGCCTTGAGTCAACTCCTGAGCTGAGATCAAGAGTCAGACACCTAACCGACTGAGCCACCCAGGCACCCCTCAAACTTGTTTTTTGGGGTCTTTGTTCCCTCTGCCTGGAATGCTTTTCCCAAAGCTCTTTGAAAGGCGTCTTTGCATCTTTCTGATCTATGCCGAAATGCTACCTCCTTAGAGAAGTGTAAGACTTGCACTCTAGCGTTCAGTGTCTCTGTCCCCACCGGGCCTTTTCCCTTTTTTGTGGCCTGCTGTCAGACATTCCAGTATGCTTTATTGTCTGTCCACCCGAGGGCGGTGGGCTCCCAGGGGCAGGAAGGCTGCCTTGTTCACACTCAGGTCGGTGCCTGGCCTTCAGCAGGTGTTCCATCAACGTTGTTCGCTGACCACTGAAACACAACACCTTGAATAAACAAACTCTGCAGGATATCCTGGACGAGGGCTCTGTTGTTTAGAAATCTCTGGGGTGGCTTGACTATAGAGATTTGTGAAAAGCAGGGCACTGGGTGTCGTGCTGTTCAGGGAGCCCAGGTTTATCCTCCAAAAGAGCCGCTGGGGTTTTTTCTGCCCCCGCTGGTAAGGCAACAAAGGGGCAGTGTCTGCATTGCTCCAAAGGTCACCTGTGCAACACCCGAAGGATGTGGGCGGTAAGAGGGAGAGCCCGGATAAATAAATTCCTGGTCACTGAGTCGGTGAGGCTGTGAGGCCGCTGTCTGTGCCTTCCCAGCTGCCGGGAGGAGCCTTCCTGGTTTCATGTGACCGGGATTTCAGGGCCCCTCAGCTGCTGCCTGATGGGATCTGCCGAGGGGATTATTCAGGGGAGGGGGGGCAGCTCTTTACTGTAACATGGGCCTTGCTCTGGGACGGCAGCCAGGAAGCTCATTAGAGAGCCCAGCAGCTGTCCAGCCTTCCAGGCAGCAAGCAGCAGCTACCCAGTGCTGAGGGGTAGGATGGGAGGGAAAGGAAGGGGCATGGGGCCAGAGACCACCCTCCAAGGTGTAGGAGATGGATGGTCTGGGTTTGTTCAGAAGGGGACATTGAGAAAGGTGCATAAGATTGGAGGGGCTGGATGGGAGGAGGAAGGGAGGAGAGGAGGCTGACAGGCTACACAGGTGAGACAGAAGACAGAGGGGTGAATTGTCTGGGTGGCAGAGAAACCCAGATTTCAAGAAAACGGATAAATGAGGGAGCGTGGATGGACGGGGTCAAATGGAGTGTGTGGGCAGTCTGTTCTGTCTCCACCCTGACCTTCCCTCTGCCAATCCGGGCCAAGGGCCCGGGTGTCCCTGCTTCCGAAGGGGAGCTGAGCAGATGCCGCCTTTCCCCTGGGGGGATTTGGAATTCCCTTTGCACTCATGCCTTAGCATGGTCTCTCAACTTGGGAAGTTGCCAAATCCAGTTGTGTTCAGGGCTGGTCTTACTACAGGACAAGAAAGAGCAGTGGTTCGAGGTCTCGTGGAAAGAACCAGGGCACTTTGAATAATTGGAGAACTCCCCAGTGGGTCCTGGGGGCATTTTTTCTTTATTTCATGGGACCTGGGGTAGGGGAGATTTGGGGAAGAGGGGAGAGAGAGGGAAGAAGGGATGGTGTTTGCGGGCCACTTCCTGGCCCCAGTCTTAGGTTCCGAGCCGTGGAGATTGCACGGAGATTGGGGGTAGGTTTGATTTATGGGTTCTGGTCAGAGAAGTAGAGCTTCAATCCCAAAAGCCCAGCTTACCCTAAATAGTTATAGGGGAGGGGAGAGAACGATGCAGAGGGAATTTCCTTCCAGCAGCTGCTGGTTAAACCTCTTTGGGAAATGAATGCTATGTGCATGAAAACTGAATGTGCCTTTTGAGAGTACCAGCACTTGTAGAAATAACAGAATAGGCATTGTTTTTCTCTGACCTGAGGCCGAGCCTGGCGGCTTGCCACGTAGGAGCTGCTCGTAGGAGCCTGCACTTTCTGGGGGGACACCTGGAATGCTTCCTCGGGCGACAGGTCTTCTGTAGTGTGCAGACCCAAGGCACCCACTCATCTAGCTTCACCTCGCTGTCCAGGTGATGGCTCTTGGAGGTGGGAGAAAGAGAGCAAGCGTCCCCCTTTCTTCCCTCATTTGCAGAGATCGCCCTGTTCCTGGAAGCCAGCATTTATGGTCCTTCGTGGGAGACAGCCCTTTCATGACGGTTGCCTAAAAATTAGGGAAGAATGTGAGATATCCTCGTTTAGTTAATAACACTGGATAGTGCCATCACCCAGGAATTTAGCTGGGCCCTTCTCAAGCTGATTTGTCCATCCATCCAAAAGAAATTCCCTGGTCTTGAATTTACCATGTGGAGGGACAAACAGACAATAGTAACTTTGAGATGGGACAGGATGTTTCAGGGCAAGGATGTTCAAAGTCCTGCGGGAACATCAGTGATGGACTAGCTGGAGGCTTAGGAGGACGGCATCACAAAGGAACGAGGAGGGAGCAGGGTCTCAGAGGAGCCCCCGGGTGCGTTGATGAAGCTGGATGGACATGGACGGACTCAGGCTGTATGTTTACAAATAAGCAGCTTACAGAACGGACTAAGTAGATGCTGGGGAATGAAAGACAGGTGTACACAGGCAGACACATGGGAAGCAGCTTGAAGACACACTGTGTGGGGAGCGGGGGGGGGGGGGACTCTGGAGCCCGAGGACCAGGGTTTGAGTCAGAGGTGTAGATTTGGCCTAATCTCTTAATGTCCTGAGAGTCAGAGTTTTCATCTCTAAAGTGGGGGGTAGGGGGTGGGATGGTGATTCCTGCCCTCCCTGCAGGAGCCTTGGGAGAATTGTGAGGGATGATCTGCATGAAAAAGTGTAAATTCTGCCCACGTTAATTGCTATAAGGGCTCTTCACACATTCCTGTGCTCCAGAAACTTCGAGCTCAGGCACTGCAGTCCACAAAGGAGCCTCACACCATCTGCACCAGGGACCTGCTCTCAGGGGCCAGGGAGCGCCAGCGGGGGCCAGGGACAGCTTGTGCACTTAGCAACAGAGGTGGGACTCCTGTTAGACCATCGCCTCCTTGTCCAGCCCCCACCGACTCCCTGGCGGAAGAGCCTGTAGACCAGGAAGCAGGAGGTGTCCAGGCCAGGCCGGCCAAGGAAGGGAGCCCGTTCTGACCTCCGCAGCCTCACCAGCCAGCCGCGGGTTCCCAGGGCTGACTGCAGCGACCAGCAGGCCCTGCTGCCAGGATGTGGGCTTTGGTTTCTCTTTCTCTTTTGTCTGGTGCTTGCTCCTGTGGCCCGCTTCGGGCCCTGGGGAAAGGGAAGTGCCGGTGGGTGGGATTGAACTCCCCAGGCACAGGTCCTGGTGGTGCTGGGGATAGAGGTGGTGTTGGACATGCCCCATTAAAGCCCCTTCCTTGAGGTAATGGGTATGTGCCAGGCAGTCTGGGAGAAGCGGGGAGGATGGACCGGTGGGGCAGGTTGAGGCTCCTGTTTGGGGAGGAGCCAGGGAGGACCTGGGGAGAACTGGGCTCAGCTGCCCTGTTGCACTTCGCTCTCATCCTTCTCTGGTCTCAGTGCGGGGGCGGAGGGGGGGGTGTGCTCTGGGGGGGGGGTCCACCCTCCAGGGTCACAAGCACAAGTGCGTCCAGTGAATTTCCGATTCCTATCCCCACCCCTTCACTTCTCCTCCGCTCCCCTGCTGCTTCTGGGGAGCAGAGGCCCAGTGACCCCAGCTCACCTGGGAGGTGCGGGGAGGGAGGGGGAGGGAGGAAGCTAGCTGTATGCACCAGCTCGGGTGGTGCCCCCTCCGATAACTCTGCTTGGCTGTCCAGGGGGTGGGGCAAGGGAGGGTGCCAGTTTCTGGCCAGGACCTGCTACAGGGACCTGAGCTCCGTCCATCCTTGGGCTCGTGCACATGGTGCCGCATCCAAGGGGTTTTTCTGAGAAGCTGCAGGACCTTCACATTAAAGTCAGAATCTTGATCAAATGGTCAAATCTCAGGGATATATTAAAAATGTGTCTGTGGCCAGGGGCATCAGAAAGTCAGATTTATATCAGTTTGTACTCGGTTATTGATGTTAACAGGAAGGGCTTTAATAAGAATAGTGATAAAATAGGGTGAAATAAATATTGGGGTGGTGGAATTGTGGGGAGAGGGGTCTGGCACACCTTTTGTTGGTGTGCTTGTTTTTCTGTGTGGCTGTGCTCGACTCCCCAAATGCTATGACAAATGTCCTCGTTATCGGCCTTCTGGGAGGTTCCTGACCGCCCTTGAGAGCAGATGTGGCCACTGCAGGGCGAAGGTGAGAGTGTAATTTGAAGCTAAATGAGAAAGGCACTGGAGTCTAAAATTATACCCCCTCTCAGATTTACAAATATGCACACATTTACTTGCGGAGTAAGAAGCCCTAAGTCCCAGCCCCACATGTAAATGGCCTGGGACTCACCCCAAGCTGTCATTGCTGGACTAACCAGACCTGAGCAAACAGGACAGTACAGAGGAGGGAGTAATTTCTAAGAGAGGGGCCCAGTGGCCCTGGTGGGATGACTGCCTGGTGCTGAGCCGGGAGCCTGGGAAATTGTAGTGTTTGCCTTGAGGCTGCCTTTCCTCCTGGCCCAGGGGGCAGTGGAAGGTAATGAACGCCTCCTCTTTTATTCGCAGGGACACATGGAAGCCTCCTGCCTACCAGCCAAGGATCAGCTGAGCCCTGGGGCTGATGCTTGCCGGCCCTGCTGAGAATGGCACCGAGGCCCACCCAGGCACCAGGACAAAGGTTAATCCGGGACACTCCTGGACAGTGACCCTGATGTCAGTTCTGAGCCGTGCACTCAGAGGTCTGATAAGTGAGTAATGTGACAGGCTCCCCAGGGATCCCGGACCCTCCCTGCCTCAAGGGCACCGACGCCGGTCTGGAGGTTCCAGTTGGGAGCCTGTGTTGTGTCCGAGGGCCCGTCATGGGGCCGTAGTTCCAGGATAGGCGGGGAGAGCCAGGCCCCTTCAGGTCATGCCATGGGCTGGAGCCGTCTTAGAGCCATGTGGCCTCTGAAATATGTGCCCCACCCAGATGGGCTGAGTGAGTGAGGTCAGATACCTAGCACATGGGAGATGACATCCTCCCACACTCCCTTTCTTATCTCTAGGCTCCTGGACGCTTTGGGCCTTGGGCTTCACCTCTGTGCCATGAGAACTGTACTTCATCTGGGATTGCAGACTTTGTCCAGAGCCCATGAGCGGTTCACGTGGCCTTGGGGAGAGCATCCAGGGCCCTGGGAGGAGTGGGATTTCTGGTGCCTGAGCTGCTACAGAGGTGGCCACCAGGGGGTCAAGAGGAGCAAGACTTCTGCTGCTTTTGGCCTGTGAAGGGTCTCCTCCTAAGGCCAGACATGCTGCATGTAGAGCGTGGGACCCCTGACCGTGGAGCTTCACCTGTCCTCGTATGGCCTTTCTTTCCAGACTTGGTCTCTGGCTTTTCCTTGATGGTGCTTTAAAAAATGGTGATTGGCTGCTTTCCCAAGCCCCAGAGGTCTGTCTAGCCTGAAGGCCATTGTCTGTGTAGGGCAGACATTCCCCCTCTGGGTCAGCCAGCAGAGAACTCGCCTGGAAGACACGGCAGGGAGAGCACCCCCGACAAGACAAGCTGTTTGGGAGCTGCTGGACTGGCCCCCGGGGACCCGGAGCCTTAGATTCCACACAGGAGCTTGCGGGGAAGGAGAAGGGCAACTAGGTAATTCTCAGCTTTAGCCAGAACTTGCCAGTTGACAATTGAAAACTCAGGGCTGGCATCTATGTTTTCCTCAGCCTGGGCTTGCAAAACCAGTTTGTGGTTGTAGGACTTTTCAGGAAATGGGTCGCTGGGGCAATCTGTAGCCAGGGAGGTGTGCACCTAAACTGCGGGGGTGAGGTGGGGGTGCAGAGATGACCGTGGAGGCCACGGCGGCAACCCGGTGACTCAGATCAGAGACCTACTCCCCACATCACGCAGGATTCCCCACCCAGGGCAGTCTCCACCAGCGGCCTTGGGACTGTTGTACCCTCTGGTCGGTGATCCCACTCCAGAATTATTCATTAAGAAATCTTTCCTTAGGGACGCCTAGGTGGCTCAGTTGGTTAAGCGGCTGCCTTTGCCTCAGGTCATGATCCCAGCGTCCTGAGATCGAGTCCCACATCGGGCTCCTTGCTCAGCAGGGAGCCTGCTTCTCTCTCTGCCTCTGCCTGCCACTCTGTCTGCCTGTGCTCACTCTCCCTCTCTCTCTCTGACTAATAAATAAATAAAATCTTTAAAAAAAAAAAAAAGAAAGAAATCTTTCCTTAGGAAATAACCCCAGAGAAGAAAGGGGCTGAATTCTTTTTTAGAAGCATAAAAAGGATGTTTCTTATGGTGTTGTGGTAATAGTGGAAATGGGAAACAATTGTTCTCTGTTGAACATGTAGGTTAAGGAAGTTAAAGTTTTCCACCTGGTGGAATAGCATACTGCCATTGTAATAACGAGGACACAGGCAATATAACAACTTTGAAAAATGATTATGATGTGCTAAGTGAAAATGTCAGGTTACAGGAGAAGTACATTAAGGATTAAGGTAACTTATAAAATAAATACATGAGAAAGATGGCCAGGGAGACATGATGGTGGCTGCTAGTTTGGTGGACTAGGAATTCCTTTTCTTTCTTTCTTTCTTTCTTTTTTTTTTTTTTTTTAAAGATTTTATTTATTTATTTATTTGACAGAGAGAGACACAGTGAGAGAGGGAACAAAGCAAGGGGAGTGAGAGAGGGAGAAGCAGGCTTCCAGCTGAGCAGGGAGCCCGATGCGGGACTTGAACCCAGGACCCTGGGATCATGACTTGAGCCAAAGGCAGCTGCTTAATGGCTGAGCCCTTGCTTTCCATGATGCATGGATTTGCTTTTGTGAAACTGAATGTAATCAAGATGAATATACGACACACATTAACAGTGACTTTCTCTACGGTGTGGGGTGATGGGGGGCTTTTGCTCTCCAGGTCGATCCTTTTAGTGATGTTTAAATTTTAGGTGTGAGCACATGTTACTTTTATAATCAGGAAAAATAATAAAGATCTTTAAAAATGTTAGAACTGAAATTTTAAAAAGACCGTATTTCCCAAGAAAGAGAAGAGAGAAATGCTGAGGAAAGCTAGTTGTTTATACTTGCCATGTGTGGGCCCATTCACCCTCCCATTCATTCATTCATTCATTCACCAGCCCCGGGTGTTAGTAGGTCTCATTGCCAGGCACTGGTCTAGGCACTGGGCACCCAGCACTGAACAAGGCAGAGCCCCTGTCCTCCTGGAGCGTTCATTCTAGTTGGGGGAGATAGACAGCAAACAAGTAGTAAAATACCAGAAAGCGAAAGTGCTGTGAGGACTGAAACAGGATGATGTCAGTCACAGGGAGGCTATTTTGGATTGGAGACTTGGAGAAGGTCTCAGGGGTGACTGGTTGAGTCGAAATCTGAATAACAATAGGGAGGCAGCCAGTGAGGTCTGGGAAGAGCCTTGTTGGGGGGGGAGGCGGGGGCAACACATAGGATGCTCAGCCTGAGGGCCCCGCCCGCCGGGTACCCTTCCCTGCCTGAGCCCTGCTGACTTTCTGTGCCAAGCTGACTCTGTTCCCAGGGCCCACCTGACCCCCTGTGCCTGCCAGCTGGGATTTGGTTAGCATCAGAGGCCTTCTAAAATCCTCTCCAGCTTGCTGCTTTGTGTGGAGTGGTCTGCTGCTGCTCCAGGCGCCAGGCTTGGATGGAGAGTATGATGCTGGTCACTGCTCTTGGCTGGCATTTGCATGGCAGAGCTGGGCCATCTGAGATTCCCAGCCATGTTGGGACAGGCTCGCAGTCAAGGACACTCTGGGGAATGTGTGTCCTGGTGAAAGGTCTTTGAATGGCACCTGCCTTGAGGCCCTCCGTAGTGGTGGCCACTGTGGTCCTCTGAGGTCAACTATGACCCTGGAGGACCATCCCATGGGTCTTGCCGGAACTTGGGCTTAGAACAGAACTTGGCTTCTCAGAATAGGCTGAGAGCCTTCAACAGCTCTGACACCAGTCCCGAGCTTCACTGATGATCTTTCTAGAAGCTCGTGTGTCCTCCTTGCTTCCTGTTGTCTCTCCATACACCATCCTGGCTTTCCCAAAGCAGAAACTCAGAAACTGGTGGTGCCCGCAGAGGAGGCTGTAGTCAGCTTCAAGGGCAGTGTGCTGAGAAGGCTCTGGAGCCAGACTCGTTGGCTTTGAATCCCAGCTCTGCCTTTTACAGCTGGAATTACTTAGCCTCTCTCTTCCTCAGTTGCCCTAGCTGTAAAATAAGCTTGAGTATTATCTGAGGTAGTACATGGTAGGTGCTGGGAAGAGGGCCTGATTATTCCTGTTACTTGAGAGGTGGAGGGAGGACTAACTTTGGGGACTTTCCTAGGGGATGCCCATAGCAAGAAAGGGTGGAACTCTGTGGCATCGGGGTTACCCAGTTACCCCAAGTATTATTTAGCTCTACTTGCTTCCCTTCTGGCCCTGGAGCAAGTGCATGGGTTCCCCCCACCCCTACCCCACCTACAATCTGACAACCACAGAGAAAGCTCAGGACGGCTTCAGACCTTGCACCTTTCACCCAGATGTTAGGACAACTGCCCCCCCCCGCCCTTTGATTGCACTCCAGCACAGAGCCTGCCAAGGGTCTGGACTGAGGGTCTCTGCCACTGCCTTGCCCTCGGGAGCCCCTGAAGCCTCCAAAAACTGAAACAATTTTGGTGCCTAGGAATGAGGAAGTAAATGAGGTAAAAGAAGGAGGAAGGCCTGCCTAGTCTGGCTGCATGGAAGGGGAGTCCCAGTTTTCTAGCAAGATGATTCTCTGCACAGAAATTCCCAGAGTCTTTTTGTTGTGGCACCTTAGCTTCCTGGGACAAGATGGGATCTTGGGGGTAAAACCAAGGGCAATCATCTCATTTGCTTTTGCCTGCAGCCTGTCTTGGACTTTTATGGCGTTCTTTTCATCCTTCTCCGCTTGCTCTGCTCTCTAAGGAATAGCTCAGTGGGTTCCAGGACTCAGTGAGATACTCTTAGGGAGCAAGACTCGGTACCCCTCCCCCTAATCACCTATCACCTGTGCCCTTGGAAGGGTAGTGCCCTGCTCTGACAAGTCACCTTTGCTGGCACTCCGTGTTCACAGGCCCTTTTATCAACAAGCATGAGGGCTCTTTACTTGAGTGTGTTCCGCAGTATCCTGCTTGTGAAACCGTCCCCAGCTCTCCAAATTCCTTTCTCTCATTTTCATCCTTGCCCATGCTCTCCTCTTTTCTTCGCCTTGAGTTTTCTTTCCCTGACTGTCCTCTGTGTCATGGTCCTCAGGACAGTTGTGTTTGTCACCAGGAGAAAGAGACTGACTTCCAGTGAGCTGCTGGTTCTTCCTGATGCAGGACTTCACAGGGCTTTGATCCAGTGCGGAGCAAGGAGGTACTGGGAGAGTCTGGGGCAGAGTCCCCCGTTCAGGTGCGGGAAAGCATGGCCGGGGCCAGGAAAGGGTGGGGGAGCTTGTCCCAACTTAAGAGTTTAAGCCCTCCCGTGAATGTTAGCAATGGGTTCAGGGAGTGGATTTTTGAAAATCCAGCCAAGCCAATGTGGCCTCTCATGTTAGTGTCTGTAGCTGTCCCAGCTGATGACACTGTCTCATGTCCCTCCTTCTCTGTCTTTGCCCCCATCTCCTGGCCCCAGTCAGGACTTCCAGCTTTTCCATTTGTCTCATGCAGAGTTGGTGTGTTCTTCTGGCACAACCCCTAGGACGTGGCCTGACTTGCCTAGGTATGCTTCCCCTCTGCTTACCCCTGTTCTTCCAGTATGGA